GAACTTCTATGTTGCGTATGCTACATTAGTAAGCTTAACGTTTGTAAATAGAAAGGTGTAGAGGAAGGCAATGAGGGCGGGACACGGAAAAATCCATGCCAATGTGACATTCAAGCTGCATAACTGATCACTATAGATCACGCCAAAGCGAATAATGCTACGTAGTGCTGAAAAGAACAAAACAGCTAGCCGGGCCCACTGGACAAAAACAAATACACCTGCGTCCCACAATTTCCAAATTTTAAAATCAACTCTTCCCATATAAAATTTTATTTAAAAGGTTGGTGTGTCACCTCGACAAGTAACGCAAACTTTTGGTGCAATCGAATGCATTCTATGCACAATACAAAAATTAAATGAACCAAGAAGCATCAAATTAGAGCCGGTGGAGCAATCACTTGACACACTTACTTTTGCGTCACAGTAGAGCGTACATGATGCACGTTAGGATGTGCGTGTGCCAAAAACAGGAGGAAGCACTGAAGTTCACCAAGCTTTGTTGCTTCTTGCTTACATGTAATCAATACAAAGCAGGGCTAACCATTCATTTGTTGAATATATGAAGGCTCAAGGTAGCTTAACATGCATTACAGCACTACAGGCTTGTGCGGTGTCTCTTGTGAGAAGTTGTTGTTCCATGTGTAGACAGAGTGACATGCATTTATGCTTTTCGACGAAGTCGGATCGGCTTCGCGTCTTCCACAGGAATTTGCGTGTCATTCACCCATTCATTGTGCCAGATATCCAAGCAAGTCATGGCCACCCACTGCATATTTCGTCGAGCACGCATACAGAGAAAAATTGTTCCCACGTCGTTGCGGTCGCCACAGAAGTACGTAGTCGTAGACGCTCGCTTGGTGTCGTGGCGGAGCGTAGATCATACCTTACAAAGTCTTTGGCGTCGCCTTGCCTGCTTGCCAGCATCGCGCCACTCTTTCACCTGTCGTGCTCCATGCTTTGACCGCTGATAGGATATACATGAATATCTTCGTAGCTTGATGTAGCAAAAAGAACTTGGGTCCCGAAGGTGTTGGCTTCGTACATGTCAGAGGCGTGGGACTGCGTGCGTTGGAGATGGATCTTGATCATATACTTGACGTGCGTCAAAGGCTGTGAAGTCTTGTTCTTGTGGTACGCCTTGTGAAAAATGTAGTCGTTAACAATATATATATGGATAATGCTTAACACCAGTGACTGGTAGCATTTTTGAATGGAAGTGCGCGCTAGGGAGTGTCATTGCAATCGCTATTGATCATGTACATCGACGCCTCCCATGTAGGCGTGAAAGTGCTTTACCACTCTCGGACACGGGACCTTCACCTACTCAGCTCCATCCTGGCACTGTTTCAATTTCAGTGCTTCCCCAGTACCTAAGAAGTGCACTCGTCTTGAATTCCACCGGCTAAAACCTTTCATATTGGGCACAAGTTTGGACCGTGCAATCTTAAAGAACCCCGGGAATTGTCGTTTGTCGACTCTTCTTCTTTTCGATGACTTCCTTGTAGTACCCCAGCCGATTTGTCATAATGGTGTTCACACAGTAGAAGCGCATAAGCAGAAGCCGGATCGCCAAAGCAACCGACGCGTAGAAGCGGTCCGTAAAAACTAGCATTATTGCTGGTTTTGTGCGTCTTTGCCAAACACTTCCAGTAAGTTTCGTACTACGGCAGCCGGCCTAATTTTGAATATGGCTTGTGTACATCAGTGACATGTTGTTTCTTGGCACTTTAAACCTCAAAGCTACATATATGCATTATTAACAGAGCAAACAACGGTTCGTAAAATGCATAATTTAGGACATCTAACTTAAAGTAAAAAAAAAAGAATTGCGTACCGAATGCAGTATGCGGTGACCGCACAGCAATGCATAAAGAGCTTTGTGCCCCACTTATAAGCATGTTTTCTATGTACACATCCATCTTGTTGAACTATGACCGGCTTGGTAACACAGCCTTTCAAACGACAAATACGGTGGTGCAAGAAACACACGTGCAAATGCTCTTTACGGCATCTCTAGCACCTTCTTTATCTTCCACGCACAATCCGTTTGCGCTCGATGGTCTTGATTCGTATCGAAGTGCAAGTTTGTTAAAATCACCATGAATCGGCCTCGTGGCAAAAAAAACCTCGCGCGATCGCACCAAACTCAGTAGTTTTCCTATGGTTAGTCAGCTTCCTTAAGTTCGGAGTAATTATCCTCGCAATCAACAAACGAATAAATCGGCACAGTTCATGAGGCATAATAGGCTTGATAGTTTCCAGCTCATTTTGAATGGCTCGACGGGTCTTGCATGCAGTTTATCTGAGTTGCGACGTTGCTTCTTCCGATTGCGTGAATATGCTGCATCAATGCGCACTGACAGCAGTTCTCAGTGGTAGCCATTCGAGCACCCACCAATATGTTGCCACAACACCATCGGCAAAAAGGAAAGTAAAAAGTGCTACATGAGAGTCGCCATGACGCACTGCATGGACCTGCGTAACCTTGCCGTAGACCTGGATAGCTTCCCGAATTACTAATGGGTTCATACGGTCCCATCATATGCTTGTCAGTATCCGGCTCGGTGACATCTTCCCACCCCGTTGCTGCCATCCCACGCAAGACCATACTCTTCAAATCATCGGGAAGAACTTCATCTACTCCTCTAAAACGTTTTAAGATATTCTCGTCAAATATTTTTTTTTAACAATTTCTGCATCCGTCTCATCCACATCATCAGCAAGGTCCTTAGGAGCGCAGCTTGCTTCATCACCTTCATCAGAGTTGTATTCCCCCAAGTCAACATGATCTTTTCGGCTTCATCACCCGACTTAGCTGCTGCATACTGGTCGGCGCTTTCGCTTGAATCAACATCATTTAAGTCGTCGGGTTTGTCTACAAGCAGCTCACTCTCAAGTGCGTCAAACTTATATTCGATACTTTCGGCACCTGTCGTACAAGAATACAGACGTTAAAACCTTGGACTGCATAATTATGCACCATAAATGCGGCATAATATACATCGTAGTATAAAATGTAACAGTGTGGACTTCGGCAGAAGCTATAGAAGCGTCATCGGTGACCTCCTCCGTACTGGAAGCCACATCGTCATCTTCGATTTCGAACACATCGTCTTCAACATGGGTGAGGTAGCAATAAGTGGGGAAGCCGGATGTGAGCTACGAGAAGTACATGGAGGCGAGGATGTGAAGGCTGCAGTCGTCCCTAGCCAGTGCCGTGCTGACTGGCGAGTCGTACGGTAACAAGGGACTGAAGAAGATTGAAGCGGCTGCGAGTCATCTCTAGTAGTAGCTACGATACATAAGATAAAAGTAAAACGGCGTTAGGCATTCACCAATATATGCTACGTTTGGGTTATAACTACAATTAACACAAAAGGCAGGTTTACCTGCAGCAGTCCATGCATCAACATTTTGACAGTTCGCTACCGCACGTCCAGCAGCGGCTTCAATGTCAGGAGGGTAGTTCTGGCGAACCTTTTCCTGTTCAGCGGCAAGTTGATTGTCCCCAAAAACATTACGTGTATTAACTACGGCGGCACTCGATAAAACGGCTCCGTGTGCGCGACTTTGCAGTACTGTACATGAAAAGCAAACGCTAGCAAATGTGTCAATACCAATAATCCGTGAAAACGTACCATCAGCGTAGAAGTCGAGCACGTCCTTTTCACTCAAGAAATGATCGAGACCAAATATGCCGTTTGGATGGCTGTCGGGGCGAATGTACTTGTAGCGATCGTCCAAGTTGCTGCGTGGGCGGGCGCGTCCCATTTACCTGTGATTCCCGATGCAAATGAGTTGCATTTCGTAGATAACCGTCAAACGTAATTGCAGGAATTTTGACAAACGACCGCCTTCTGTTGACCGAAAGGCTCGAACAGAAACTGCACGGACACTTAACTTAAAGTTTGTAAGCCACTTGAGCAGCGGAAAGGGCGCTCTTACAAATTTTAAGTCTAAAATCGCTTAAGATGAATATATTCAGCCTTAGTGGGTAGGCTATGTAGCATTATGCTAAATCCGGTCTGGGGGGGGGTAAACCGATCAAGCCCAATAGAGCTAACCTGCTATAATAATTATTGCATTGCGACAAGGTTCCCAAATCGATTATTTTAGTGGACTTATATCGTAATATTTGGTTTCAAGTTATTTTCCCCCGATCCCTGGTAGGATAAATAGCAACGCTTCATTTCTTCGCGTTGGTGAGAGAATCGATTTCCAAATAGTTTATGTTTCATTCTCTCACGATTGGGTAACCAATATCTTTTAGCGTCTTCCGCATCGCCCCTGAACGCTCCTTAATAACTGTAATGTATTGAACAATACATGCACATGTATATATGTACAGAAGTCCCCCTAAATAAGCGTGGTGTTTAGCCGGGGCCATCCTATATACTTTCGAAGGTAATATTGCAGATTCGTTCAGAGCACGCCTATTTAAAAAACAATGAAACGGATACAGGAGGGTATACAAAATACAGAATTCCGCTTATTCAGGTAGACTTCTGTAGTACCAAACATATCACGCTGCGTATCGATTTGGCCTGAGCGATTTGGTAATTGATTTGCTTTCTGTGTGTTTTTCACGAAGTTCAGCTTTATACATGTACTACACTCATGATCCCCACCTTCTTGATCATGTGTATAAATAGCTCGTGCTTCCTTTCAGTCACAGATACTTTGTGCGTTCATTTACAAAAAATATATTTCTATAGTAGTCTTACGTAAATACAGTAACTGCTCCAGAGCGTATCCTTGTTCAACCAAGGAAACAAAAGCACAAGTAACTCGTGCTTTTGATTCGGTATACGGTATTCCATAGCAGCGACGTGTTACCATACAGTGCAGCACCGTTTGCTGTGCCGAATATTACGTTTTGACAAGCTCTGCAATTCTCGCGTACAACATTCAGTGGGCACAAGTCAGTTCGCAACTTGCTCCCTTCCCCGAACAATCTCTCAAATCGACGCTACTGGTGCCCTCAATAAGCGACAACACCCATGCACCTCGCTTACATTTTCGCTGTGATGGCTGTAGGTACGCTCCACCACAGTATCGATGGCCTCCTTGTTGTAATTGGGAAAGGAAATAGTACTGAAAACGGGGCTCTATCTGATCCATTCACTTTAATTCATACAGACGTCCAGCGCTCGTTGCGTCGAGCTGAAAATGACCGAGGTGACATTGAGGAAGAGCAAATTGTAAGCTGGCCTGAAGTACTGAAGAAGGTGACTGCCGCTAGATCTGCGAAAATGAAGGTTCGGAAGGTTACAGAAAAATTTGAAGACCCCGTCTCGAAGAAGCTGGTTGAACATTTGAGGGTTTATCGAGATAAAGGTAGCTAAGGGTTTCGGCTGACTCAAATAACCAGTGCCAGTCAAACGAGAAGCATCTTCAGAGTGATAGTGCGTTCAAGTGTGACCAGCTCTGTGCTGTTGTGTATAGCTAACAAGGTATGGAGCACCTCTATCATAATAGATTAATCCAGGTATTCCTCAAAACGTGACGATAGAGTAGTCTTTTGGTCTTTCCACCTAGCTCTGTGGTGAATTTCGGCTTGCTATCCGAACACTACGCATAAAGGATTTCAACAGAGCAACCAGGCAATTACGGTATAATGAAGAACGCCCTATCCAGCTTATTTCCGCCAGTGATCGAAACCGAAAATTAGCAAAACAACTTCTTAATCTGCGGCTTACTAATACTAAGCTTACTTATGTACCCACCTACTGTATCACAAAGTAGCGAGGAAGCGTAGGAGCGGAGACGGCGAGTACGGGCGCCGAAGAGAGTTGTAGGGGAGGAGAGGAGTTGCTGCCCGAAAGCAAATTGAGAAGTGATTAATCAGTTAAAGTTGGCGGCGGCAAGCTAGTAGCTGCCGCACAACCCGTACCAGATATTCACGGACGTATCCAGATCCCATACCAAAATCTATCTTTATCAAATCCTAATTTTTCCTGTAACTACCAATGAAAGCCTATGAATCCTAATTCTTATCTTGGTCGTAAATTTCGCACAGCGCCCCATAATCACAATTTCCGGATAAAAGCTTGATTTTTGCAAATCCATGGGATTTTGGACCAATAGGATTGCCGTATGATGTAAAGACAAGCAATTTAAAAAACCTCCTCAAGTTCAAGCCGATCAGAATAATCTGACCAGCCGAAGTCAAATAATTGGCGTAGCTGGTCGTTGCCATGGCATTGACCAGTGACCATCACGTCACATGACCCCCCTTCGAAGACGAGCCCCTCCTAGAGAAAAGGGTTCTCTTTCTGCTTGGACTTCCAGTAAAGGTCGATGAGTCCGGAAATTTGTGTTAGATTCTCTACGGGCTCCCAAATGTATTCCTTCTTGGTTTCACGAAGCCACCCGATCTTTCACTGCGGTTTTCCATTGTACTTGCGATGTCCAATGACGGTTTTAACGAGTTGGCTCTCGGAAACGTCGGCTAACACAACCTTATTCACATTTTGCCTTGGCTTGAGGTATTTGCGGTACAGCTTCAATAGTGACGTACTTCTCCGGTCCAGAAATTAATTAACAGTTAGGTTTTTCATAAAAAAACCTCGCATGTATGATTGGTCAATGCCCATTCTGAAATGGGTACGATTGGCTAAAATGAGTTCATATGAGGATTTGTAAGCACACGGATTAAGAGTAATTGACACGAAAATGGATCAAATTGCTTTTAGTGATATACCACTAGATTAAGCTCCGTTTGCGCTTTCTCTACTATATTTTAAAGTTTAATTCTGATTATTTTTGACGCCAAAGCGAAAAAAACACTACACCCCTCCATAAAGTGATAGTTCAAATGGTCAAAATTGACGGGAAATTTGCTCTCAAAACAATCGTGCTGACGCTACGTAAGTAGAACTTCCAATCTAGCTCAACCACGCTCCCGTTAAAGCTGTACGACCAAAGCTATCGCCGATTTAAAGAGCTGTTAATTCTTTTTCGGGCCAGACAAGTATGGAACACCGGATGTAGCTTCAATTTTTGCGAAAGTCCTAGCTCATATTAGTCTCGAGATGCCTTCTTCAGTACCGGGAAGGGTCCAGTAAATCTTGGAGCTAACTTCTTCGACTGTGCATACCCCTTATGGCGGATGTCCATGCTCTTTCCGTCAAGTAACACCATATCACCAGTCTCGAAGTCATGAACAAATCTGTTTCTGTCGTAATAGTGTTTCATGCACTCTTGGGCTTCACTCATACGGTCGTGCGCTACCTCGGGGATGACCTCTTGCCGGAGTAAGAACTCTTTTGCTGCTTTCTCCAACTTGTTGAATCCCGGGTCTAACGTGACCTTCTCGGGCATGTACGGAATATATCCAAGATCCGCTTTACCCGGTGCCATTCTGATCGTCGAATGCACATGTCGATTGTAGGTAAGCTCTGCCATATGAAGAAACTCATCCCAATCGCTCTGGGCTGGGTTAACGACTCCACGAAGATAATCCCCGATGAAATGGTTCGTACGCTCCGTTTGTCCATCCGTCTGTGGTCTAAATGCCGATGACAGATTATGCTGCGTTCCCATAGCAGCTATAACAGCCTGCCAAAACTTGGACGTAAATTTGGCGTCACGATCAGACACAATCGTCTTCGGAAGGCCATGACCTTTTACAAAGTTATATATGAAGATATTTGCAGTTTCTTCGGCGCTATCTGTCGTCTGCTCTACAATGAACTTTGCACGCTTGATCAATCGATTTACGATGACCATGATGACATTGCTACCATCCTTGCTGGGAGGTAAAGACACAATGAAATCCATCGAAATGTCGATCCACATACCTCTTGGTACTTCCAGCGGTTGAAGTAATCCCGGAGGTTTCACTTGTCTAGCCTTGTTGCGCTGACAGGTTTCACAAGTGTTGCAAAAACGCTGGATACACTTCGTCATCTTTGGCCAATAATACCTCTTTCGTACTGCAACGTAAGTCATGTACGATCCAGTATGGCCTGCCGTTACGGCATAGTGGCTCTCGCAAATGACACGGTTTCTTAGATCTTCGTCATCCGGAATATACAGTCGCGGATTTTCATCTTCACCGGTCTGGTAGTATAAACCACCATCATTGAGCGAGTAATGCGGAACGTTGTCTCCAAGCTTGATCTTCTTGACATTTCCCTGCAAGTCCGTGTTCCATGAATACATTTTCTTTGCAAACTGTGCCACAGTCACCTTGTTCGCTACCATGGTTCCCACAATCTCACTGTTTGGAATCGTATCAAGAAGTTCCCTGAAGACTTACTAGCGCAGCCTCATGTTCGAACGCAGGGTTCCTTGGCAATGCATCTGCGACTACATTTGTTTCTTCTGGGATCCACGTGAGCATGGGTCGAAACTCCGCGAGTTCATTGAACCACCGCGCAAAGCGTCTATTCGCTGTCTTCTGCGTAATAATCACCTCGATGCTCTTATGATCGGTTTCGACGAGGAAGGGCTTGTCTAGCAGATATACACGCCATGGCTTCAGCGCATGCATGATCGCGAGAGGCTCTTGTTCGCGTAGTGGGTAGTTCAGCTATGCTGGTTTCACCTTCCGGCCAGTAAGGTAATAGGATGTTCCAACTCTCCCTCCTTTTGAAATAAGACTCCCCCATTTGCGAAATTTGAGGCGTCCATTCGAATACCGAAAGGCTTAGTGACATCAGGAAAACGGAGAACCGGTGGTGATGACAAGCGTTTCTTTAACTCATCAAAACACTGCAACTGGTCCTCTTTCAGTTCGATCGCATCTCGAGAACGTTTTCCCTTTATACATTCGTGCAAAGGACCTTCAAACCGAGCAAAAGCCTTACAAAATTGAAAACGTAGACAGTTGTCCCCATAAAGCTTTCCACTTGCTTCTTTGTCTTAGGAGCTGGCCCGTCTGTGATAATCTTCACCTTATCGGGGTCCATTCGAACACCCTTGCGTCCGACAAAGCCACCTAAAGATGGAATTTCGTCGACACAAAGTTGGCACTTAGACAGCTTTGACGTATAGCTTCTGCTCTTCACGTCGCTTCCAAACCCTGCCCAACGCGGCAATATGCTCGTCGACATCTTCTATTTTGGTGTACGCGTAAATGTCGTCGAAGTAAATCCGCATCACGTCACGTAAATCCCTGAAAACGTTCTGTAAAAACTTGTTAAAGGCTCCCAGGCTACCACAGAGTCCC